ACCTTGGTTGTGTATGAAGAGAAAGTATATAACCTTAAGCATGTTGATATCAGGACCAAATCAGCCCGGAAACAACATTGATGTCTATCTTCAGATGGTAGTTAAAGACCTTCAAAGGTTGTGGATTGGTGTTCAAGTCTATGATGCGTACAGGAAAGAGTTCTTCACATTGCGGGCAGTTTTGTTGTGGACAATTAGTGATTATCCTGCATTGGGTAATTTGTCAGGCAATGTTGTAAAAGGCTATAATTCATGTGTTGTTTGTTGTGATAAAACAAATGCTATCAGGTTGCGTAATTACCGTAAGATAGTGGTTATGAAGCATCGCAGGTGGTTGCCACGACAACATCCATATCGAAGGCAGAAAGCAGCTTTTGATAACACAGTGGAAAAGAATGCAGCTCCTATCCCATTGACTGGGGAAGAGGTATATTTACATGTGCAATCGTTAAGTGACCATGTCTACGGGAAGACACAACCACATCCTCGTCTAAAAAAAGGAGACATCCAACCTACTTGGAAGAAGATGTCTATTTTTTTTTAAACTGGAATATTGGAAATTTCTGCCAGTAAGGCATGTTCTCGACGTAATGCATATTGAGAAAAATATATGTGAGGCATTAATTGGTACGTTGCTTAATATACCAGGGAAGACAAAAGATAGGGAATCTGTGCGTATCGATATGGCTGAAATGGGTATTAGAACGGAGTTGATGCCCAAAAATCCCGGAAAAAATGAGAAGTTACCAATGGCATCTTGTAACTTATTGCACAAAGAAAAAAAGATACTTTGCTCATCTTTGATTGGCATGAAATTACCTGAAGGTTTTTGCTCTAAGTACGTCAAGAGTCTAATATCGATGGAAAATCTTCGAGTTGTCGGGATGAAGTCTCATGATTGTCATACAATGTTGCATCACTTGCTCCCCATTTCAATACGATCGGTGTTACAAAAAGATGTGCGGTCCACTATTATTAGGTTTTGCCTCTTCTTCAAGGTAATTTGTAGTAAAGTCATTGAGGTCGATAAATTGGAAAAAATGCAATCCCAGTTGGTAGAGACTTTATGTTTGCTTGAAAAACATTTCCCTCCTTCTTTCTTTGATATAATGGTCCATCTATCAATTCATCTTGTGAGAGAAGTCAAGCTTTGTGGGCCAGTTTGGCTACGTTGGATGTATCCTTTCGAAAGAGAAATGAAGACATTCAAGGGATATGTACGCAATCGTGCTTATCCTGAAGGTTCAATTGCCGAAGCGTATATTGCAGAGGAGGCAATTGAGTGTTTAGTGAGTTCTGAAGATTGTACAGTATGATTGCCAAAACGTTTCCAGGGTGCACAATCTAGACCCATGTCTGGTGCGACGATGATCACACCGACCAATAATGACTTGCACCTAGCACATTTGTGTTTCCTCGAAAACTGTGATGATGTCCAACCATACTTTATGTAAGTACTTTTTTTAAATTTTTGACAGTTACTTCACTTTCATTCTTCTTTATAATATTATTAAAGAATAAAATTGTTTCAGTGAACATATAGGTGCTTTGGTGAAAACGTATCCACAACGTTCTAATGATGAGGAGTGGCTCAAGAACAAGAAAAACGAAACTTTCCCGGGTTGGTTTCGTAGAAAAGTAAGTACAATCTGTCATCATATAGTATTTGTGCAGATTCTTGAATAAAATAGAAAATTTTGAAGTTATTGTACTTGTGGTACTTCGTTTGGACAGATTTCAACAGACTTGCTTGTGGAGAATAATACGGTATCAACGGAACTAATGTGGATTGCAGAAGGGCCTAACAAGGATGTACCCACTTTCAGTGGGTATAAAATCAATGGTGTGACCTACAGCACCAAAGAACGTGATGATATGCGTCAAGTTCAGTGTAGTGGTGTTTGTGTAGAAGCTCAAACAATGCTCGTAGTTGGTAAGGA